AGGTTCGATATACCTCCATTTTCGGAAATTAGGCAGAATATCTACATAAAAATACGGTGTACTGGATTAACTTGAAAGAGTTGATAGCAAATACATGTTATTACCTACTAAGAAAACATTCAACAATGGTGAACTATTGAGATCTAATTGTCAAAATGATTGAGTTTCAATCCTTGTGTGGAATTTCGAAATCATCATCAAAACTATGGTTTTTTTCTATCATATGGTTGGCGTATGTTAGATTTGTTTATTTTTTCAAAAAAGTCATCTTATATATGTTCATGAATGCGCTGATTGAACGTACGACCTGTCTGACCGATATATATACCTTAGGACAAGATCCACAGTTGAGTTTGTTCGAAATTCTACACGTAGAAAATAAAGGAATGAAACTCACTCACTTTGAATCATTAGAAATCAACAAACTCAAAAATTTTTACATTTTACTTAACGATCAATTAGGCCTCAATAGTTGACCACAGGTAACTAATTCTTCAAGTTTGGAAAGTAGGATATATAAAAGTTAAGCAAGCCAAGGTTAGTTTATAGTTTATTGTACCAATATTTCACCTGACGAAGCTACTGTGTTAGCGAAACATGTTGTGAGTTTAAGAATTTTGTGGAAATCTTATTTTAACAATTGCCTTGGATTTCTATCAAGTAACGGCCGTGTTTGGGTCAGGCGTAACAGTATACGATTCTGAGAATATTGAATGTTCGTAGAATATTTCTTGTAGGATGGAAATATTATATTTTTGAATTAGTACCTTTATTAGAACGTTGTCATAATATTGCAATATTCATAGAATATTCCGTACAGTCTGGAAATAGTTTTTTTTCATGTTGAATAAGTTTCGAATTGGATCTTGTCATTAATATTCTGAAGAAAATATTTCAATAAAACTCGGCAATCGGTGACGAAGTTACTGGGAAAATATAGTAATATAAGTCCTAAAATAAAAGTTAAAACTCAGAATTTCACATCCATTATTCCGAGTTATAACTCGGGTAGGGTGGAAAGAAAGTAATAATTTGGTAAAATAGTGGTAAATTTTTAATTCACTAAACTGATGAGTAAGAACTCCAAGTAAGAAATACATTCGTATCAGTGATATGGGAATTATATCAACTCTCACAATAATTAAGTTATATGACTTTATTCGAATAAAATCATTTCGGATTTCAAATCGTCCTCATCAGTAACCTGAAGTCCAGTTATCTTCCAGCCATTTTTCATAATATACACATACACAATTTTCATCTGTCTATAATCTAACTAAAACTATAACGGAACTGAGATCTAAGAATTATTATTGTTGATAGTCAATACTTGTTATTTGGTTATTGGGATGTATGAGAAATTGATATACATCACACAGGACGTGGAAGAATAAATTCCAAATTGAGAAAAAAGCTAATCGAGAATCTGCGATTGGAGATCTATAAAAATAATAAGTTTCCATCGTTCAAGTTTGAACCCCTTGAAATACTCAATAACACCAATTAGAATCATTTTGAAATTCTGGAGCTTTCTCAGTCTCCAACCATACTGAATTTTGGCACCATGAAAGCTTCTATACAGGGAAGTTATAAATAGAAACAATTAATACTTTCAACTTCAACAACCTGTATCTCAAAAACGGAGCAAGTTAGGAGACATGTTCATATGAACTGTATTTGCTAGACTATCACCTCCTGAATTTTTTCGGTGTTATTTAAATACATCCTTATATATAAAGAAATACATTGAGAACTCGCATTCTTTATCCCAAGTAGCACACATATATTGGGACAATATCGGTGCAATATTACGAAAATATCGGCAAAATATTGTGAAAGTAATATTGGCGAGAAAAAAAATGTGAACATTCGGCGATATTGGTACAATATCAGTTTCCAAATGTGGGTAGAATATTCTCATATCAATATTGGTTAAATATTCGTGGAGTTATATTGGTCACAAAATGGAATATCAATATTGGCGAGAAATTAATGGTGAACATTCGGCAATATTATATGGAAATATCGGTGAATCATTGAAAAAGATCATGAAGCTATGTTGTATCAAAAATATTGATAGAATATTGTCATACCAATATTGCTGGAATATTATAGTAATATACTGGTGCGATATTGGTTGGAAATATTGGTACATTAATGAAAATCATTATGTAGCTATGTTGTCTTCGAAATATTGGTGGAATATTTTCATATCAATATTTGCGAGTTATTCGCATTAGGAATAATCACAAAGGTCAGCCCAGCCGAAGTGCAATGGGAGGGCCTTGCCTTGGGGAAGCCGCCTTATTGATCCTACTCCAGGTAATAATGCTTTACAATCGTCTAGAGCCAATATTTATATTCTCTCGTCTGATCGGCAATGGGAATACGTTACGAATCATTTATAGCGCCATCTATCGACATTGGTTTGAGAGTGTATGCTATGGAATTGATATCGAAATTTCGATATCGATTTGAATTCTCAAAACAATATGTGAACAATATTGCTCACATGATATAGTGAATCAGATATCAGCCAATATAAGATGATATTACTTTCTGAATATTCCTGGAAAACTATTCAACCGATATGCAATTGAACTTGAAAATACAATATTGTTTTTCTCTTCTATGACCGATATAAGATATTTATTGAATTGCCGTTATTGATATTCATATTTGAAACAATATGCATTCTATGTCTTTCGCATGATATAGTTGAAACGATATCAATCAATTTGGGTAAATATGATGTTTTGAATATTGTCGAATAAACAGTATTCGAAAATGAGCCGTCGAACTCGAATATACAATTTTGCATAACAGCTTCAGAATCCACATGGGGAGAATGTTCAGATTGCGATATTGGTTATGATTGTTGGAAACAATATGTATACGATATCTTCCGCGTGATATAGTTGAAATGATATCAATCAATATAGGTGAATTCGATGTGCCAAATATTGTTGAAATAATATTCTACCAATGTGCCGTCGAACTCGAACATACAATATTTCATAACCACTTCAGAATTGACATGGGGGGAATGTTCAAATTGCTATATTGGTTATAATTGTTGGAAACAATATGTATACGATACCTTCCGCATGATATGGATAAAATGATATCAATCAACATAGGTGAATATGATGTTTCGAATATTGTTGAAACAATATTCAACCAATATGCCATCGAACTTCATTATACAATATTGCACAACCGCTTCAGAATCGACATGAGGAGAATATTGAAATCACGATATTGGTTATGAATGTAAGAAACAAAATGTATACGATATCTTCCGCATGATATAGATAAAATGATATCAATCAATATAGGTGAATATGATGTTTCAAATATTGTTAAAACAATATCCAACCAATATGCCGTTTAACTTGAATATACAATATTGCATAACCGCTTCAGAATCGACATGGGGAGAATGTTCAAATTGCGATATTGGTTATTGATGTCGGGAACAATATGTATACGATGTTGTTGTATCGACATTTGTAAAACAATATTGTATAACATTCATGAATATGTTTTTCAACACATTATTAACGAATTTTACAACCAATATTGCTCCAATATTGTAGCTGACAATCCATATTCAGCTCAGGTTGAACCAATATCCCACCAGTATTATCATTTCAATATTGTATGTCCGATATACTCTCATATTGGACCTACATTATGTTTCACATGTACGATATATCTATATCGGCCCAATATGAAATCGGGTTCCAGCCAATATGATGTGCTACCTGGGATGTGATGAAAATATCAATTCTTTCTCGGTTTATTCATATGTATAATACCACAAGTGATAATATTTTGCCAGAAATATTCGGTGATTGTTACGACAGCTTCTTGCCTAGTAATTTCGCGAATGACATTGTTATCAAAACTACGAGCCGTAGGCGAGTAGTTTTTGGATCAATGTCATATGAGCTAAATTGAAGCAGCAAGCTGGAGAATGTCAATCGACGAATATTTCCAGGAAAAATGATATCACGAGTTGTATTCGTATGACTATTTCATGATTGAATGAGACAATATATATAAGAAATAGGAAACATAACTTAAGTATATTCCAACTAAAACTGCGAAGAAGATAATGATAGTAATGTAATACAGAATTCAATTTTTTAGAAATTTACTACCTACTTATAGTTATTCACAAAGTGGAATGTACAATTTTGATAAACAGTATTTCTTTTATTATCTTGGAGATGGCTGCTCTCAAAAGAGTGTATATACAATTGCTATTAAATTCAAACGAATTAAATTGAATTCAAGTGACATGAAATAATAAAAAAAAAGGTATCATCGCCGAGGGGCTCGAACATCGACCTTCCCTATCAGATGAGGTACGTCATGTGGTAATTATAATAGTCACAATAACTTGAGTGATTGAAGAAGATTACTTTAAAAAGGAATTTGAATTCAGACCGTCAACAAATATGCAAACTTTTTAAATTACACATGAAACGACCAGCCAGAATAAAATTGTCTCGCCTTTCGTACAAAATGTCTCACTAACGCGAATTATAATTAAATAAAATGAAGTAGGTACCACGTGACGTGTGGGTCAATTCGGCTTCTGTATTGGTAGAGCAAGTCGTCCGATGAAATTTAGTAAACAAAAAAATATCGCTTCTGATTGGTTTTCGAGATCAAGAGTGGAATAGTCAACAGAAAACAGCTATACACGACGAACATTGAATTATATCTTTTGAACACACACGATAAGAACTTGAAAACTAAATCTTCTGGAGTTAAGAATTTTTATTCTCCATCAGATAAAAAAAAGTATTTTCATTCTGAATATTCAACAGAGAACAACTACTTTCCTGGCTATTTGCCACGTCGATATTTTTTGGGACACATCAGTGTGTTCAACACATAAACAGAACATGAATCACCTTGTATATACCTAATGAGACACTGAGACAGCTAAAGCGGATTAAACCATTATTAACGAGCTTGCGCATATAATTATTATTAATTGATGGTTAAGCTATGCTGCTATACGACTTCACAATCTTTACATTTCCAACAAGAATAAATAATAAAATAAATAACCAAACGAATTTAGTTGGCAGTTCCATCGTTATCGGACCGGTCATGACAATGAACGTGAAATAAATTTCGGATTTTCGAATATGGTGGACAGACGAAGTTGTTTACACCCGATATTCCTTTGTCTTTCCCTATTGTTTATGGTGTGTTTTTCTGCAGATGAAGATAGTTACGGTGAGTGTATCTATTAGCTATTATTTTATTGCTGGTCAAATCTAATGGTCAATTAATTCCAATTTGATTCACGATTTGTCTGGGTATAACGGATAAATAGTATCAGTCATCGCTATGAAGATAAAAACTCAATAACAAGAGTTGAAGTCGAGTTTACCTATATTGTCAACAAATTATCGAAAAATATTGCTCTCTCTCAGGGAAGTAACAATGTTTATTCACGACTAATATATTATACTTGTGGTTTTTGAAGTATAATGCCATATATTAATCCCGCAGGGAATAAAGACTATTAATCCCTCGCCATTATTCCCTGCGGGATTAATATATGGCATTATACTTCAAAAACCACAAGTATATATATTAGTCGCAAATAAAGTAGAGTATACTACTCGCAATAATGGCTATTATTCTCTCGGAATGTTACTCCCTCGCCGCTAACGCGGCTCGGTTCGTAAAAAATCCTCGAGAATAATAGCTATCATTATTGACTCGTGGTATAATCTACTATTATTTCATGTTCATTTAGGAAATATAAGAATAGGTAACGCTGATGGTGCTTGAAACCTAATGTCTACATAACATAGGGCAATAATTCTAATTGTTGATAGGTATATTTTTCTCAAGATAAGTATACAAGGTGGCATTTTCAAAAGGTTCCACCCTCAATATCTTCCTTGCAGTGAATAATATGAAATCGAAAAACCAGGTCGATTTTATTTTTGAATGGGACACTTGATATGTATCTTTTTAGTCCTCTTAGTTCAACCCCCTAGGAGGGGTAGATGTCACCCTTAGAATCTAAAATAGGAAGAGGGCACAAGAGACACATCATTTTGAAAGGCGTTCAATTCTCCTTCCAACGGTACCCTAGTTAATCATTTTCTGTCGAGCAGTTTGCGAAAAATGTTGTGTCACTTAGAAAACTTCTTACCCGATAATATCTTCCTTTCAGTAAATAATATGAAATATCGAAAAAACACGTCAATACCATTTCTGAGGAAGACACTTGAAATGCATATTTTTAGCCCTCTTAGTTCAACTCCCTAGGAGAGGTAGATGTTACCCTTAGAACCTAATATGAAGAGAGAGGTCAAGATGCACATCATTTCAAAGGGCGTTCAAGTCTCCTTCCAACTACACCCTAGTTTTTCATTTTTTGATTTACAGTTTTCGAGAAATGCCGTTCTAAACTTACGTAAGTAATTAGAACATGCCTGCACTGATATCTCGACTGATATGCATGGTTTTCAGGATAGTATTATTGTAATGACCCTTTCAGTCCAAATGGTAGGAAGATTTTGAATGCATTTCAGTGCAGGCATGCCCCAGGGACATCCCTCAAAGACGTCCCTAGTTGGTCCTTAGGTGGGATATTTGTGCCTTCTGTGGACGTCTTGAATATCCCGACGAGATGTCCTAATGAAGTCAATGGGACATGGATGTTTTATTGGGCCGAGGATCTCACGAACACTCAAAGAAATAGTATGGGTTGAATTGACAGAAAAATATGTTTAATCAACAACATTATCATAATTGTTGAATAAAACTACAATGATGGTACATTCAATGATTAGGTGATCGTCAAAACAATTGAGGAAAAATTGTACATGAACAAATTCAACGCCAACCAAAAGTATTTGTTGGTTTTGATTATATTTCTGTGATACAATCAATAATTTGTAAAAATCTGTCAAATCGAACTAGGAATAGTATTTCAACAACATTATTATAACTGTAACTGAGATATCATATAAGCTCGTTCACTGTATATTTGGTAAACAAACAAATAGGAAGTTATAATCAACATATAAGTATTCCAAATCAAACTGATTATAGTATTTCAACTATATATTATACTGTAACTAAAATTTCATTTCAGCTTGCTCACTGTTGAAGTTGGTAATCAAACAAAAAAGAAGGTAAAATCAACCTGCAACTATTTCAAATCACTCTTAAGATAGTATTCAAACTATATCATGTTGTATACACTAACATATTATTACAGCTCGTTCACTGTCATAGTTGATAGACAAACGAACAGTAGGTTAAAATCAATAAACCTTCTTTGAAGGGTTGACTATGAGCTTGTGATCTTCCCCCATTGGTATTCGCAGGGCGACAGCGTCGACATGAGATTTTGTTGCTGGCGTCTTATTTTGTTCTTTGTGTTGTGGCTTTATCATATTTTGATACTATCGTTTCACGTTATACCTATTCTGCAATGAAGTGATTTTGGTAAGTCGATTATGTAATCACTGTATTCAATATCGAGTTGTAATTTAGTACTAAATTTGGTGATGATTCAACACACTGTATGAAATTATTGCTCAAGTTCGTCTCTTTTTCTCATCAGGACTATCTTCAATTTTTGGATAATTTAGTACAGAAGAAGTGGATATATCCCCAGGGAGGTTGTATATCACAAGTACCAGAACCATACAAGAAGATTGAGAAAATTTTGGAATTTCTCGTCAAGGAGTACCACTGATGTATAGTCTTACCAATTAATAATCATGATGAGGAGAATTCATCAGATGATCGTAATTATGTGATGGTGAGTATTATTCATGAATTCAATCAATTCAATATCAAATTCATATTTCGATTCTATACATTTCTTGCAGGGAGAAGATGATGTGGTAGCAATTGAATAACGTCCATTGAGTGTCATACAGGATAAATGGAAGAGTACATTCAAATAACGGAGACGAGAAATTACAAATGAAGAGAATTATACTGTAGATATTTTGTAAAGTTGACCACCATGTAATGAATAAACTTTATGTTTATACGAAATCTGTTTTAATTCAGTGGTACAAGAACAATAGTCAATATACCTATATCTACTTTATGCACTTTGTTGGTGAACCAAATATTATGGCTATCTAAACAAAATATAAGTGAAAGGACAAAAATTATGGTCAACTCGACACTCATTTTGTTGTGAGATTAAAATCTGGTTGATAACCAATTTTCTTGATCAGAACAACAATTACATTCGTATGCTGACTAAACATATTCAACTATTGTTCGCTGGTTGATTTAATTATTAGACGAGATAGGCTGATTTTCATATGGTTTTTTTGGTTGATTTAACCCATAAATTTTTTTGAATTAATAAAATGAAATATTTTGGATTTTTGTTCAGCGGTTGCCTAGTGAATGAATGAAACTTATTATTTTTTATTCATCTCGACACCCTGTATCTTAAAAGCGATTAGAATTTCAGGCCAGGCCGTTAAGGCCTGATGGTTCAGTAGAAACTGCTCTAGAGCTGTATCGCTTCCAAACAGGCAGCATTCCATCGATGGCAGATAAATCCAGGCCCTAAGACTAGAGCAGAATATGTCGAGGCTAGAGGCATATGCAATGAGACAAGTCGATCATCAAAGGATGCTTATAATGCCAAAATAAGATCAACACTTGTTGAATGTCCTAACGGATACCGTTCATTTTGGTCCTTCGCCAAAGCTGTAGGAAGAAACTTTACTTCCAGCTCGTTCCCTCCTCTAACCAAGGAAGTTGGAACACTAGCCACAACTGCCCAGGAGAAAGCCAACATTTTTGCGCATTTATTTTCTGGAAATTCCACTCTGGATTCATCGGGAAAACAACCTCCAAACATAACGCCAATTGACAGTCATTAGCCCGAGATCACCTTTCGCCAACGTACTATGAGGAAGATTTTATTGGGTCTCAACACCAACAAAGCTTGTGGCTCCGACTGAATCCCTCCGATTGTTCTCAAGAAATGTGCTCCCGAACTAACACCTGTTCTCTTTAGCAAGTTGTTCAACTACTCTTACAAATTGGGGATATTCCCGTCCAACTGGAAAATTGCAAGAGTACAACCACTTCCTGAAAAAGGCAAAAAGACCTTACCTAGCAACTACAGAGCGATCGCACTGCTATCTATTATTTCAAAGATCATGGAGAAAGCTATCAACATCGAGCTCATGGAATACCTGGATATCTCTAAAGCATTCGATCGAGTCTGGCACCACGAACTCCTCGCCAAGCTTCCATCTATGGCTTGTCTCCCCAGCTATGTTCTCTGCTAGCTGGTTTTCTCTCAAACAGGCCTCACTATGTAGTGGTCGACGGAGTTTCATCTGACTCTCTTACCATAATTGCTGGTGTTCAGCAAGGATCAATTCTAGCACCAACACTATTTCTACTCCATTTGTTGGAAGCAACTTCATGTCCAGTACACAGCTTTGCGGATGATAGTACCCTCCATACCGCCTTCTCTTCCAGGGCTCCAGTACCAGTCAGGCAAATCAGAAACGAACGAGGAAGGAATGTTGACAACATAAATATGGACTTGGCAACAATTCTGGAATGGGGATCCAATAACTTGGTAGATTTCAATGCAAACAAAACACAAGCATGCCTTTTCTCTAGAAAAGCCGATCTTACTGTGCCAAACATAAGCATGTCAGGAGTAACCATACCTTCGAAGACATCCATTTCGATGCTTGGTATTACTATCAGCAATAACCTTTTTTGAGAAAATCACGTGAGATCAATTGCGAGAAGTGCATCCCAAAAACTTGGTTCTCTGTTTCGGGCTAGGAGCTATTTCACTTCCAGTCAGCTGCTTATGATCTATAAGGAACAGATCTGACCTGTCCTGGAATACTGTTCCCATATTTGGAGTGCAGCACCCAAACATACCCTGAAACTGTTGGATTCTGTCCAAAAAAGGGCAATTCGTCTCGTGGGTGATGCCTCACTGACAAACTCACTCACTTCTCTGGAACACCGTAGAAAAGTTGGCGATCTGGCTCTATTTTATAGATATTTTTATGGAGATGCTCTTCTGAAATATCAACAGTTGTACCTCCCTTGGCAGTCCCCGCGAGATTAACCCGTTGAGTTGAGGCTTCGCACCCCTTCGTGGTCACTTTGGATACCTGCAGAACATCTCTTTCCAAAGACTCGTTCATCCAACGAACAGCAAGGCACTGGAACACTTTGCCAAGGGAGGTGTTCCCCGAGGCATATAACCTCCAGAAATTCGAGAAGAACACCAATTCCTACCTCAATTCCCTTGGTTTTCAGGATGTTCTCTGTTCTCTGAATATTACAGGATATCTATTTTCGTGGGAACCAGAACATAAAAAAAACATATTTCTATATGAACTGCTTCTTCTTAAATAACTTGGGGATTTGTACATGAATTGAATGATGTGACTTAGGACACCATGTATATTGAATAAAAGTAAAACACAATATTCCGTAATATTTATATTTCTCGAGGTTATTTCAAAAAGGTTATTTACTTAGTCCGAATTTCTCATTCACGAGAGTACCTACCTATACAAAATGTAGAAAGTGGATAACTTATCTCTATCAGATTTATTTGAGATTAGGATCCAGTGTAGAAGCACCTATACATTGTATATATGACCACCATGTATATTATCAATCAATTAAGACATATTCATCCAGCAGAAGATGGTCTGAACGGCATTGAACTCTTTCTACATACATCGAGGATTCATTGTTTTCTCTCGGTCAACAAGTTTTGTGAATTTCCATGTGGAAAGGTTGGAGATACGAAATTAAATCCTGCAAAATTGATATACTGTATACAGTGTGGCCCACTCAAGACCGTAGCACCCTTAAAAAATCTACAGTTTTCAATTGCATCATTCTTTTTTTGTTTCAGCTGAAAGAGTACCTGTTGAAATATCCACATTCACACAAATTCACAAAATATAAATCAAATTCTCAGGGCATTCTATTTTTTTTTCATGGAGGTTTTTTTAAGAGAATTCGACTCCATCATTGGATTCACCATCCTTCAATGGGCGTGTACACCTTAGTAGAACATTTAACTCAACCCATGTTTTTAATGATCCTTTTATACATAAATAATGATTGACGACATAATTAGATCGAAAAATTGACTGGAATGTTTTATTTTTCGACATAAATAATAGTACGTTCTGAAAACGAACCCTCTTATGACATAGAAACCTCATCTCGCCATAGTTAAAAGACCAATAGCCCGACGGAGACCGAGGCAACTGATATATTATTAATTCTTTCAACTGTGATCTCACGCTAATTCACTCTGTCAGAAATCATGTATCATTCATCTCTGTCTGGAATAGTCTTGTATTAGGGTTATGACGTCACATCATCGCCTCGTTTTCAGAGGTCCGAAAAATCGGGGATTTCAATGATTTTTTATAAAACGTTGGGAGCTCACAGCAAGAAACGGTTTGCGGTGGTGAGCTAGTTTGGGTGAGTTCCATCGAATTATGAAATAATTTTTTTTTGTGATATAAACCATTAAGGTAATCGCAATTTTATATTTGAAAATTTGGTCTGGCAAAAGTCAAAAGGCGCCTATATACCGTGAGTTTCTCAAATGTCCCTCATTCCTATAACATTTTTGCTTCTATAAATAAACAAATGAAATTCGGTGTGTGAGTATAGTAATACAATATTTGACGTATTGAGTTGTTTTCTGTCACTTCCGGTTTGACCGGAAATGACCCATATTTTCTTATTCTGATTCTGATATGTATAAATTAAGAGAGGACAATACTTTATCTGATTCAGATCAAATTCAATTTATTATATACCTCTTCTATAACAGTTCGTTTCTTACGATTCGTTCCTGTTTTTTAAATACTCGAATCTTATAAATACCCATCACTGTATTTTGTGATATTTGTGAGTATTTTTAAATTGAGAATTAGGAATATGATATTTTTTTATGAGAATGTTTGTTTTGTCTGTTTTTATTTTGTTGTAAATAGGTTACTTTTACTGTTCAATTAAAGTGAATAATGTTTTGACGTCATAGGTTCATTTCATTATCCTTTCTTGGAACTCGTTTAGCATAAATCTTAATTTTCGACAAGGTACCCAGCGAGCACAAAAACATCTCAGAGACGTTAAAAGTACGAGATTTCGAGACATTGAACCTCCACTGCGATGTTCTGTTCACACATGAATAGAACTATTATAGAACAGCCAATGTCCGCCGCAGGCGGCAATTATCGAGATGTCCTTGATATGTCACAAAACTACCTTCGCCCTAGTTCTTTTCAAAGCCTTTCCATGGACACAACAAAACATTTTCAACGCGTCTTGCGCACATTAAATCGCTGTAAAAAATTTTCGAGGTACTTTTCTGAAGCCTTTTGTCAAAATGAACTTTTGCATTAGGATTCCATTTCCCTTGAATGAAAAAATGCATTAAAAATAGATTGAACATAAAAATATTTCCTTGATATGAAATTACCTTCTTAATCGGTTTCTGAGTAGTGCTTACTACACACAGACATATAATTGGAAATAGGTTTCCCATTGTTCTCCACAATGCATAATTTTGCAACTGCGGAGAAGCTGATGTGTATTGATAAATTCGTACTTTTATATATTGATTACACTGAGGCACCGAACAACACATCTTGCATCTGATGGTCATTATTACAAACTAAATAAGTCTTCTAACACAATGAACTTCACCAAATTCCTTTCTTTTCGTTAGCAGCGTGATGTAAGCGTGACACGCTGCAAACGCGAATGCCAATTGCGAACAAGAAGAACAAAATCGAAAACAAATCAGAATTCATCGTATTGTGACGTAAGCATGAGACGTTGTGGTGGGGCAAACAAAGAAAGGGCACAAAAGAACAAAAACAATACTTTCAATATCCTTCTAAGACCCCTTTGGGAAGTGCATATTACGCCTCAAAAAAACATCCTCATGCCTACATTTCTAAAACATCCCAAAACATCCCAGGGATACCTCTCGGTAGGCAAACAAAGAAATGCCACAGAAGAACAAAAACAATACTTCAATATCCTTCTAAGACCTCTTTGGTCAGTGCATATTACGTCTCAAAATAACATCTTCATGCCAACATTTTCAAAACATCCCAAAACATCCCAGGGATGTTTGTGCTCGCTGGGCTATATCTCCGAAACGAAGATTTCTCAGACCCACATGCTCATATGATTTTCATTACATACAGCTAGTTACAAGATTGCTATAAGGTGACATTTTTGTTATATCGAATATATGTAATGTTATCTACTGTACTTCATTTGCAATCTTGCGATGACCTTTCTTAAGACATTCTTAATATTACTGATGCTGCGACCTTGCAGTAAGAGAACAACAATACACATTACACATCACATTGAAACATTGCTGCAATATTGATAAAATATTACTTTGCTTAGTGAGCAGATGAAAATGAAAACTATGATCGATTTATCTAATCTTTTCCAGCAGGCAGTAAATGTACAAATTCGGGGATCCCAGGCATATGCCAGGAGGTGTACGATTGCCCTATAGCCATCGAATCCTTGAAAAAATGGCACAAGCACGAACTCAAGAGGTGCGGTTTTAGGGACGTCGTCGAGATCGTTTGCTGTCCCACATTGGAGACCAAATCGCCGACACTGAGCGGACAAGAACGATTCAACGGAATTGAGTTCAACGACTACGGCGATGACAATGATGCTGGAGAGGGTAGAGTTGGAATAAGAAAATCTCTTCAAGGTATATCAAGTCCATCAAGAGCCGGCTGCAAACGTACATCATCTGATAACGAAATGATTTAATGTCCCAAAGGGTCACTACACTGTTTTACCACTAACCAAACCGATTTTTTAACGCCTCGACACGTGTTTCGCTAACTATGTTAGCATCTTCAGGAGAAGATTAAAACTAAATATCCTATTCTAGTGTGCTGCTTATACCGGGTGGCTACGGAAGTATTGCCTACGGAATATCTCAGTTATTGTATGAAGTAGGTTTGTGAAATTTGAAGCGTCGATATAATGACATAAGAGCTAGAATTTGAGCATATTGACATGTCGAAGTTGACTTCCAGTCTGACCGGAAGTAACATCAACTTTCTTATTTTGAATGGAAACCCTATCTTTTTTCTTTTCGCTTCATTCAGCATTCAATTCCCTTTCTAATGACATATCACAAGTTGGTATCTAACGAGAAACTAGATCAGAAAAAATTTGTTATTGAAATTCACCGAGTAGCCCGTGGAAGCAAAATTAAAGCCAAAAATTGAAAAGTTGGCTATGGAAACCATACGTCACTTGATAACAGTTGCTACTACTGTGATATTTTATTTTCATTCGTCGGCGTTATTAAAAGCCGCCAAAAAAAATATTGGAAAAATTGGGAAATAAACAATACTCTGTAGGTTGATAACTTAAATAAGAACATACAACTTTTTCTTGCCTGTACTATTCAGCATAACCATTCCTTTTTGATGATATAATGGAAAGTCATTTTTTGAAATGAAATACCAAAAAATCCAATTATTATTCTTCAAATAACAAAACAGATTATCGCCATACGCAAAAATAAAATTAAAAATAATAGTTTCTGGTTAGATACCAACTTGTGATATGTCATAAGAAAAGAAATTGAATGCTGAATAAAGCAAAAAAAAAAGGGTTTCCATGTAAAATAAGAAAGTTGATGTTACTTCCGGTCAGACCGGAAGTTAACTTCGATATGTCAATATGCTCAAATTCTAGCTCTTATGTCATTATATCGACGCTCCCAATTTCACAAACCTACTTCATACAATAACTGAGATATTCCGTAGGCAATACTTCCGTAGCCACCCGGTATACTAGGTATATGTTCACCCAACTGTGAAAAATACTAACCGTCAAGTTAATGTTTGTCATGGTTGAGTTCACATGTTAATCTTAATTTTCATTTTACTAAACTGTATAGAGGGCTATTTGGAATAGGTCCATTATCCTTATGCATTACTCTATTACTATTCTTAAATATCTCTAAGCTTTCATATGCGTCTAGTTTTCTAATGTTATTAACTTGCTTAACTAATTTGAGGTTAGTAATATGTGTGTTATGATTGTGATTAAACATATGTTCGGCTACACAAGATTTATCTAACCTGCCATAATTTAAATGGGCTATGTGTTCTTTGAATCTCGTTTTTATGGGTCGCCTGGTTTGGCCTATATATGTTTTATCACAATCATTACAACTTATTTCGTATATTCCCGACTTTTCAAGTGTGTCCACTTTATCTTTCAATCTTGTGTAGCCGAACATATGTTCAATCACAATCATAACACACATATTACTAACCTCAAATGAGTTAAGCAAGTTGATAACATTAGAAAACTAGACGCATATGAAAGCTTAGAGATATTTAAGAATAGTAATAGAGTAATGAATGAGGATAATGGACCTATTCCATATAGCCCTCTATATAGTTTAGTAAAATAAAAATTAAGATTAACATGTGAACTCAACCATGACAAACATTAACTTGACGGTTAGTATTTTTCACAGTTACACATATACCTAGTATATAAGCAGCACACTAGAATAGGATATTTAGTTTTAATCTTCTCCTGAAGATGCTAACATAGTTAGCGAAACACGTGTCGAGGCGTTAAAAAATCGGTTTGGTTAGTGGTAAAACAGTGTAGTGTATTATCGTGCCAAAGGTTCCAGTCTTTCGATATGTCCCAAAGGGATATAAATCAGTAGATTGTTTTATTAGGCCCAAAAGTGACACTTTGTTTGACAAGTGGATTTTGATCCGTCCTGTCCTGGAATACTGTTCCCATATTTGGGGTGCAGCACCCAAACATATCCTGAAACTGTTGGATTCTGTCCAAATAAGGGCAATTCGTCTCGTGGGTGATGCCTCGCTCACGAACATACTCACTTCTCTCGAACACCGTCGAAAAGTTGACGATCTGACTCTATTTTATAGATATTTTCCTGGACGATGTTGTCACTTTGGAGACCTGCAGAACATCTCTTTCCAAAGACTCGTTCAACATTACAGGATATCCCTTTTCGTGGGAACCAGAACATAAAAAAACACAAATAACCAAACAATGTTTTATATTTTGATCATTTTGCTCAGGATAGTGATTGGTACAGGTGCCGTTTGATATAATTCGATGTTTTTACATGCCTTTGGAACATACTTATATCATTTCATCAGATGACGGTCCAAATTTGCAGTTGGCTCTCCTACTATAACTTCAGTGGCGTTCCAGAGGGCAATCAAATTTATATCCATGGTGAAAATCATTGTAGGTACACCCCTCATCTTTGCAAGTTCAGATCGTATTTTGGATTGAGCTGTAAGAGAAGCTACTTTCTTGTTTTTTTAAATTTTATCGTATTTTGAACAAATTTTAAGGTTTTGAATATTTTCAAGTGGTTTTTCTCAGAAACGGATCAAGATACGATTAGGACAAAATGGTTTATTTTCAACAGCTCAATATGAAATACTCTAAACTTGAAGAAATCGCTGCCATACAATTATTTCCACTATAAATATAATTTTGAATGCCCTCTGATGGGACGTCCTTGATATCAATAATTTGATTCCAAGTATAACAAATGATCCTCACTCGCTAACCACAGATAAAAAGATTAGTCTTATCAAAATCAGCGGAAAATATTTCGAGTAATGAATAAAAAGCCGTTTTTTTTTCTGAAAAAGTTGACGAAAACGAAGCAAGTTTGGATATATGTGATGCTTATTGGACTAATTCGACTTGAGAAATTGGGTGAATATTTAGCGGTTTAACTTTGAGTCACCCTGTACTATGGTGCAAAATGAGACCATCGATGAAATATCAGGAGTGTGCTTCTATTTCCAGCTTACTAACTATTCAACAAATTTGGTGCTCTAATCTTGTATAGGGTTTGCATCAAGTTACTAATGTTATCGTAAACTATTTCGGCAGTCATTATCTTCAGAAAAATCGAGAACTGTTGTCCATAAACCCAGAATCAGAAGGCCAATCGCACCGTCTGAAGAAAATGTAGGTTTCTATTTAAAATAAGAAAATTGTCGCCGACTTTTGTAACACCCTGTATAGCTGGAGTACTGAAAATATTCCAGGTAGATTGGAAATAATCGATTACCTATAACAGCATATTCAAGTTTGCATCCAATTGCAAGTTGAAAAACTTTTAATGTGTGGCCAACGTAAATCACCCTGTATATTGATATCCTGGTCACTTGTTTTGTGTTCAATTTCAGCTTGCAACTTCCTGGGCAATCAATCTACGCGAGTGGGAATCATTTTCCATATCATCGACGGAGAAGATGCAGTGGAAAAGGAATTTCCGCACATGGTAAAGTAAGCCTTTTATTATTACCACTCTTTTATTTTGGCTCCGTATATTTCGACCCATACCTACAGCACAGCTTCAACAATACCAGGTGGAAATAACTTTTAACACAAAAGTTGTAGGAGTTCATCTGTCGACACTCCTTAAACGAACAAATGCGAATCGCAAAGTTATAAAAGAGTCAGTATTTTTAAATGAAATACCCGGTATATTTTCAACTCTAGTGAAAGACCTTTCGCTTCTGTTCACGAATATAATCCAGCCAACTAAGGGGCAGACAGATCGCTTCACGTGGTGGTGGACGGTGTATCGTCTGATACCATTGGCATCAATTCTGGCGTTCCACAAGGATCAATTTTGACACCAACATTATTCCTTCTGTGATCTGTTGGGAGTAACAACTTGCCCCATCCACAACTTTGCAGATGATAGTACCCTCCATACTGCGTTCTCTTCCAGAATTCTCATTTCCCAGGAAACTAAGAACTCACGGCGCAGGCAGGTCAATGCTGTCAATGCTGAATTCACAGCCTGGGGAACCAAAAACCTAGTTGAATTCAACGCCACCAAGACTCAAGCCTGTATTTTCTCTAGGAAGGCGGGACTCAGTATGCCCGATATTTTAATGTCTGGCACTGCCATCCCCACCAAGCCCACCATATCTATACTCGGTATTTCCATCAGCAACACTCTTTCATGGCATAATCATGTCAGATCCATCGCAAAAGCTGCCTCACAAAAACTCGGATTCTTGTTCCGTGCGAAAAGATACTTTACACCTCAACAGCTTCTCATGATCTACAAAGCGCAGATACGGTCTGTTCCAGAATACTGTTCCGACATATGGGGTTCAGCACCAAAACATACGCTGATGCTCTTAGATTCCATCCAGAGAAGAGCCATTCGCCTGGTGGGTGACGCCACACTCACTCACTCTTTGACATCATTGGAACACCGTAGGAAGGTCGGTGACCTTTCACTTTTCTATCGATACTTCTACGGAAAATGTTCTTCGGAAATCTCTGATATCATCCCTTCACTAGCAATGCCAGTCAGACGAACTAGACAAGCAAAGTCAGCACATCCTTTCATTGTCAACCTCGAAAGATATCGAACAGCACTTTATCTAAACTCCTTCATCTATAGATCGGCTAGGCTCTGGAATTCATTGCCTGAGGAAGTATTCCCAACAACGCATATAATCTCCAGAAGTTCAAAAACAATCCAATACCTACCTCCTATCCCTATCGCGCTAGGAACGTACGATGTTCTTTGAACATCATAGGGATTCCCTTTCGTGCGTTCCAACCGATAAAAAAAAAGGTAGAGGTTACAGGCAACAAAATCAAAGTTTGCTTATTGTTCGAATTCGGCTTCGCTAGGCGCTCCGCCTCGCAAATGCAACATTCGCTTGTCAAACAAAGTGTCACTTTTGATCCTAATGGAACAATCTACTCATTTATGCGAATACAAATCACACCAATGTCGAGAAGGGGATTACCAATCATCTCAAACAAAAACGTCCAAATCGGACAATTAGTTTGAACGAAATAGTTCATACATCAAGGTCGTAAAGAATATCATTATAACCCAGGGACAAAGATTATTTCCCGAGTCCTCAGTCGAGAAGTATAAGTTCCCGTGGTATAATGATATTCTTTACTACCATGAGTACCATGGTGTACTTATATTGAATTTGTTTCACCACAATCATTATATCGTTCTGTGAAACTGAAATGTGGGCCTATTGTCACGTTGGAAGCACCTCCCTGGGGAAGACCACTGAGAGAAGAAATCCGTGCAAACCTCTTTTAATCGACGAATCATGAGTTACGTTTGATGTACAATCAATATTATGAGTTGAAGTTGAAGGGAATCGAATCTATATCGTTTTGAAATCAGCATATTTCATTCGATATTTCAAACAGCCAAATATGATGGTGGAGCCGTGACGTATTAGTCCCAACCTGTAGCTATCTCTCTCTGATACCTTGTCATTCTGCAGTATTGCAGTGTGATTGGTCAGTTCAAGGACAATAGGCGTGCTGGGACTAAGACGTCGCAATGAATTCACAAAATTTCAAATGGGGCAAGAATTGTGTGCTTTGAAATGGATATATTCTAATTTATTGTTTTCATCGTCTTAACATGAATGACAAAATTCAAAATTAATTCGCTGGTAGTATCTTAGTATAGAGTACACGATAATGTCGTTTTAAAAAATCAGTGGTCTCCCCCATTCCGATCAAAATAATAGCCATGACTATGACAGCATATGTCAAGTGGTGAAAAATACGTACCAGATTCGAGTCTCGATCATTTCTGCGAATATCGCATTAGAACAACAGTGAATTCAGGTTTATTGAAACATAGGTGGCTATGTTATTATTGACTAGTGGTTGATAAAATGACGAAAACTAGCTTGGTAGTAAAAATACACTTCACGCCTCGAAAAGGAGTAAATAATGGTAGGTTCTACAGCTAGTGCGGTAAAAAAAGTATACCCTAGACGGCCTAGACTTTTGGCTACTTTTGTTGGTGCGTTGATTTCTTGGAGAAGTGTATTATGATGTTGTTTTTGTCCTCAGGCAGCCCTGGGCTACGACACGGACGATGGGCTGAGCTGGGACTGCGGGGCTTCCGTCATCTCGAACCGCTTCCTGCTCACCGCAGCACATTGCTTCGCTAGGAGCGTGCGTCCGGCCAGGGCTAGGGTCGGGGTCACGTGGTTGAACGCGACCAACCCCCAGGTGAGATATTTCGTTGCATTGACTACCTAGCCCTCAGACTACATAAGAATATACAGACATCTCTACTTCAGAGAGCAGCATTTATTAGAACTAATAGATTGCGCAAATATTGCCTATCCCCATGTTGACAACAAAAAGACTCGTGTCAAATTGCGGATACTTTCTTTGGTACAAAGCGACGCTGAGAGTTTCAAGAAAAACAATCATTCTGCCTACGTCTCAAGGCGGTTTGAATATACCAGACCCGTGCATGAAAGCTATAACGTCTTATTGATAAACAGTACAATGAAAGCAATTTAATTTGGAATGAAGATTGAGTTCTGTGGAATAGAAACAATGAAAAATCCCCCTTTTATACACGGAATTCCGTCACAGGCATTCCAACCCAGCGAACACAAAAACATCTCAGAGATGTTAAAAGTACGAGATTTCGAGACATTGAACCTCCACTGCTATGTTCTGTTCACACATGAATAGAACTATTATAGAACAGCCAATGTCCGCCGCAAGCGGCAATTATCGAGATGTCCTTGATATGTCACAAAACTACCTTCTCCCTAGTTCCTTTTAAAGCCTTTTCATGGACACAAAAGAACATTTTCAACGCATCTTGCGCACATCAAATCGCTGTAAAAAAACCATTGTCGAGGTACTTTTCTGAAGCCTTTTGTCAAAATGAACTTTAGCATTAGGATTCCTTTTCCCTTGAATGAAAAAATGCATTAAAATAGATTGAACATAAAAATATTTTCTTGATATGAAATTACCTTCCTAATTGGTTTCTGAGTAGTGCTTACTACACACAGACATATAATTGGAAATAGGTTTCCCAATTTTTGAAATGTTCTCCACAAATGCATAATTTTGCAACTGCGGAGAAGCTGTGTATTGATGAATTCGTACATTTATATATTGATTACACTGAGGCACCGAACAACACATCTTGCATCTGCATGATTACAAACTAAATAAGTCGTCTAACACAATAAACTTCACCAAATTCCTTTCTGTTCGTTAGCAGCGTGATGTAAGCGTGACACGCTGCAAACGCGAATGCCAATTGCGAACAAGAAGTACAAAATCGAAAACAAATCAGAACTCATCGTATTGTGACGTAAGCATGAGACCTTGTGGTGGGGCAAACAAAGAAAGGGCACAAAAGAACAAAATAAATACTTTCAATATCCTTCTAAGACCTCTTTGGGAAGTGCATATTACGCCTCAAAAAAACATCCTCATGCCTATACATTTCTAAAACATCCCAAAACATCCCAGGGATACCTCTCAGTAGGCAAACAAAGAAATGCCACAGAAGAACAAAAACAATACCTACTTCAATATCCTTCAAAGACCTCTTTGGTCAGTGCATATTACGTCTCAAAATAACATCTTCATGCCAACATTTTCAAAACATCCCAGAGATGTTTGTGCTCGCTGGGAAGGAGCCTGTATTCCTCTAGTAAGTTTTCAGCCAAATCTGCTTTCAACAAAAGAAATATATATACATATAAACATACGATAATGGCTTCAAAAATTATCGCGGGTGGGGTAGAGAAATATACAATAGCGACATTTTGGATCACAAGCAAAGAAGTATAATGTATTTGATTACTCATAATGTCTACCCTTTTCAACCACAGTTATGTATGACAGGTAAAACAGATTCAGGCTTATGCAAAAAATGTCAGAAGCAATGCGAAAGCATAAAACATAGATAGTATGTAGCAGAGAGACAAGGTTAATTTCAGTTTTTTAATTAGGACTTTGAATATGTTCACTAACTCTAATATGTATATTTGTCAAACTATCTTCAGTCAAATTTCAAATTTAGAAACAAAACAGTCAATGTCATTGCTATATTTATTATTGTGACTACAACATTACAATCATCTACATTTTGGACGAGAATCAAGATTTTAACCATTACCAATCTGAACTAGCTTACTCCAATCACAAATTAGGTGAAATAGAGAGAGCGGAATATTCAGGATCAATTAGAATAATGAGTGGTTGTTGATGTATATTTTGCAGGATCAGTTTGGTAACAATAAAGGAAACAGATAAAAACTGTGGTACTATTTATCGGGGATGAATATCGACTGTTGAGCTCATTGATACTTCAGCGATATATGTATTTGTTATATGAATAAATGAAAAAAAAATACAACAAATAAAATGACTTTTTTGAATTGACTCGGCGGTTATTGATGGGAATCCATATAGTTAGTTCGTCCAGTACGTAGGGTGTGGGGGTTCTTTGAATGCAAAAGGCGGGTTTTCAGTATGTTTTAAGTTTGGGGCCCTTATGAAAAATCTAAGCTCTCGACCTCCACCGCCATCTTGGAACTAAAAAACAAAACCATACAAAGGTGAAGAATACAAAATTTCCTAAATTTTTTATGGTTGAAAATGTTTTGTGGGACACATATGTTGGGAGTTCACTCCGTGAAAACTCCATTATTTTAATGAAAATGCAGAAACTTCATTTTGGCATTATAATTTTCACAAAATTATGAAAAAAAAACTGAAAGGCACCTTAAGATTATTTTTATTAAAATTCAAGAATAGTTCAATTATGATTTTAGAGCGTTACAACAAATAATGTTCACTACATTTTGGTACGTTTTGATGGTCCGGCTTGGTTATTATTGTCGGTGTCCTGGTCGTAGTTGTCTGTGTCCTGAAGGTCCTGCATGAACACTAAACAGCTGACTGGAACGGGCATTGCGTGATCATTATGATTTCAGGTACGGAGATTATGATTCATCAAATTTTGTAAATTACAGATGGCATACGAGTTAATTGATTATGATCCGATTCTATTTAAAAGTGGTATCTGAGGGATTCCGGGGTCGGAGATCATGCTCCGACATAATTAGCAAATTCAAGATGGCGAATTCAATATGTCGAACGAGGTTTGTAATAAATAGTGTTTTGAAAAACTAATTAAACATGCTTTAATCATAGATAGGCCAAACTAAAAAGAGGTAAAAAATTCATAGTAAATCAGAAAACTGAATAAAGAGGAAGATTTTTACCGAAATGAAAAGAAGTAGCTAGAATATAAATAGTATTATGAAAAACTGAGAAAACTCGCTTTTATGGTTAGACTAAAAAGAGGTAAAAAATTGATAGTAAAACAGAAAACTAAATAAAGAGAAAGATTTTTACCGAAATGGAAAGAAGTAGCTAGAATATAAATAGAAGTTTGAAAAACTGAGAAAACTCGCTTTTATGGTTAGTCGTTAATCTATGGACAAACTAAACAAAAGTATAGAATAAAATAGTGAAAGTCTCTTGTTAAATATTTATATATGTAATACCACAAGTGATGATACTATTTTGTCGGAAATATTCGGCGATTGTTACGACAGCTTGTTGCCTAACAATTTCGTCGAATTACATTGTTTATCAAAAATAAATTGAAGCAGCAAGCTGGAGTATGTCAATCGACGAATATTTCCAGGAAATATAGTATCACGAGTTGTATTCCATGATTGAGACAATAAACGAGCGGCTTGCGAGAGTTGCGCACACTGCATCCATCATTCTGGCTTCCAACATAATTGACGTTTTAAACGTCCAAAATTGTATCGCTGAAAAACGAGGAAGGTTGGTCACGTGTGGGTCAATTCTGCTTCTGTATTGGTACAGCATGTCCGATAAAATTTAGTAAACACAAAAATATCGCTGTAATACAGGAGAAACCGTAAGAATGGCTGATTCTGATTGATTCTAGAGTCCAAGAGTGGAATAGTCAACGGAAAAAATACTTTCTAGAAATAATATACACAGCACATAACGTTTGCCGAGTCAGCTAGTCCCTGATGATAAAACTTAGTGTTTCCATTGTTTTTGATTGTTCTTCTTATTATTTTCGAGCAGGACGTGGACATCCTGAACATAACCACGCACCCAAGCTACGACCCCACGTCCAAACACGACGATATAGCGCTGGTGGAGCTAAGAGACAATTTGACGTTCAGTGACAGCGTGTACCCGGCCTGCCTTTATCAGGGGAATGACGACCCTCTGGGACTGATCGTGACCGGATGGGGAAAAACCTCCATTGGTAAATATACCGGTTGACTCAGAAATAAATACAGTGTGTCCACCTTGAGGACTTACCACCCCTGTAAAATTGTTATTATCTGACCGATTTCAAAAAACTGTGCCCAACATCATAACTTTGTCAGGAATAAACATACCTTCGAAGACATCCATTTTGATGCTTAAGTGTATCCCAAAAACTTGGTTTTCTGTTTCGGGCCAGGAGCTATTTCACTACCAGTCAGCTGCTTATTTATGATCTATAAGGCACAAATCCGACCTGCCCTGGAATACTCTGTTGCCTCGCTCACAAACTCACTCACTTCTCTGGAACACCGTAGAAAAGTTGGCGATGTGGCTATTTTTTATAGATATTTTCATGGACGATGCTCTTCTGAAATATCAACAATTGTTCCTCCCTTGACAGTCCCCGCGAGTTTAACCCGTCGAATTGATGAGGTTTCGCACCCCTTCGTGGTCACTTTGGAGACCTGCAGAACATCTCTTTCCAAAGACTCGTTCATCCAACGAACAGCGAGGCTCTGGAACACATCGCCAAGGGAGGTGTTCCCCGAGGCATATAACCTTCAGAAATTTATGAAGAACACCAATTCCTACCTTATTTTCCTTATTGGTACTCATGATGTTCTCTGAACATTGCAGGGTATTCCTTTTCGTGGGAACCAGAACATAAAGAAAATAACATTACGTTAACTGTTTAGGTAACGAGGACGACAGGAGTCTTCTCCTTCAGAAGGCGAAACTTTCTGGAGTTCCAATCGACCAGTGCAATACAACGTATGTGACGAGGTCATTGGGAAGCAGGACAATTTTGTCAACGCAGCTATGCGCAGCTGGAAAGAGAAGTGACGCTTGTTGGGTATGTTTTTTTT